CAGTGAGCAGCCACTGACCATGCCGAAGTCTCCCAACTTCTCGGATAGATTCCGGTGCTGATTCACATCCATGTGATGGCAGGAGGGAGATGCCATCTTTCTCTGCTCCCTTGGTAGAGAGGGAACAGTCGTTCTTATGTGGCTGCTCAGTCTCAACCTCGTTCCATTAGTGTTCTCTTGAGTAGCTCACCTCCACCTGAGGCACAGCAACTGGCCCTGCCACACGGCCTCACTTCATCTCCCCACCTCTTGCTCTCTAAAGACTAGACCAGGTTTTGGTCTTGTATACAGATATTGTGTACCTGAACTAAATAAAACTCCCAGCCTGCTGGCTCACTCTTGCTAGTGGGCTGAATCCCTCTCCTGCAGAAGAGGTTTTGGTATCTTGCTTGTGTGTATCTGGAGGAGCTGCCTTTGTACATCTGTTGGTTTCAGGTGTCTCTTTCTGGGTTTTTGGTTTGTATTAAGCTTGATTTGTGTTCAGCAATGTGGGGCTTCTGCAAGCCAGCATATTGTAGGTCTGACCTTTCGTGTTGATGTTTATGTAGATGAGCACTAATGTGAATCTTGCCCACATTTTATAGTTCTCTGTGTATGCAAATATTAAACCTTCTCCTGTTTTATAGCTGAAGTCATTCTATTTGTGGAATTGCTTCACTGGCAAATGACTGAGAGCTGCCTCCCTGGCTCCTGCCAGGGCCCTTCTCTTGGCTGAATAAACGTCATCTCACCAGTCTAGTGCAGCCAGAACTAAATATAGACCAAGTGCTCTGATGTGCTGGAGGGCAGAGCTTCCAGCATTGTGGAGAGGTGATCGAACTTAGATTAAAACTTACTAAGGATGGTTCTTTACCTTGTAAAATTGGGTTTAGGCCTTTCCTTGGACTTGTCTTAGCAAGAACGATAACTCCAAAAGGCTGAGGGAGGGCAAGAAAGGGGTTAGGGGTACAAGTACATCAGAATGATGATCTTGGATGATGCTGCTGCCCACTGTTGTGCCTGTTTTGCTGTTACTGTTCTGCTAACATGGTGATGGTGTGGCCCAGAAGGGGACTTGCAGGAAAAGGCTGGTGTGGCAGGTGCTGGGAGCTGTGCTTTAAGCTGTCAGCAGGAAGGAGGGGAGCAGGCTCTCTGGTTGAGGCTTGGAAATGTGTAAGGCTCTTGGGGCTGGCCTGGCCTGACCCTGCTGAGATGCAGCCCAAGGAGCAAGACTGGAGCAAGAGGAACTTGTAATGATGCTCTTCTGAAAGCAAAGACCTGTGGGCTCACCTCAGGGGTGTGGATTGGCCCTTGTTCTGCCTTCACCTTCCTGGCACAGTGGAGCTGCTCCGTATCATCTGCTGCATGGGGACATCGCAGGACCTCAATGGTGCAGTCATGGAGCCTGCTGCAGCCTCGAGTGCCAGCTCCAGGAGCAGCACGTACCTCTGGTGAGTCAGGAAAGCCTCGGTGATGATGAGCTGGGGAAGAATGCGAAGGCAAGCGAGAGACCAAGGCTGCTGAGCTGGAGCAGATGCCAACCCTGCGAGGATGGAGCAAGGATTTCCGTGATGGCCCTACATGGCCTCTGCCGCAGCCTGAGGAAGGCTTTGTGTGCCTGACAGCTCGTCCGTGGTTCCCCAGCCGTCTCATGGGGTCTAATAAAAGGCATTACCTCCTCCTGCAAACACGGCCTCCTCTAGTCCTCAGCCATGGGGGCTGCTCTGCCCTACAAGGGTATGGGGCACTGGGGTTTGCTCTCTGGGGCCATGCTGTGGCTCCCATAGGCTGGTGTCAGTGTAACCTGTCCCCTGGGGGGGGGAAAGTGCTGATGTGCTGGAAAAGTGCTCCAGTGAGGAAAATGTAAAAGATGGGGTCCTGGAGGAGCTGAACGTCAGGGTTTGGTTGAGGCTTCAACAGGGCCATGGGGGCAGGAGCCATTCCCAGACCCAGGGGACTATAAATGGGAGAATAATGGTCCAGGGCTGCGGTTTCAGAGCGCTGCTTCAGCACAGGCCCTGCAGCCAGGGCAGCCTGGCAGATGTGTAAAACCCATATTGCTGGGTGGGTTGTGCAAAACCATTCCTGTGTTCAGGACTCGCATCTCATCACCTCCCTGAGGGCGATTTGAGAGCAAGTGGAGCTGCAAGGGGGGGATGACCCAGGAGAGCTGGAGATGGGGATGGAGTCTTCCTCTGATGCCTTTATAGTTGTGTTGTTACCGAGGTGATTTGAGCTTGGCCTAGAGCTGGAGCTAAGAGGCAGATGGTGTTTCCATGGGCTTACATGCTGAAGGGTGGCTGAGCAGGGCGCTGATCTTATCAGCTGGTGAATGGGGTTTCTATGGGAAGCTGTGATGCTGCTTGCTTTGCTTCTCGCCTCTCCACTGGGTTACCTTGTTGGCTGCCAGCATGGACATGTCCTGGTGCTTTGGATCCATGCTGGCTGCTCCTTGCTGTCGCCGCAGGGCTCTGGAAGCTCTTTTGCTGTGGTTTTTCCTTGTCTTTCCCTCTCCCCTCAGTGGGCCCGATCCCAGCACAGGGGCAGCTCTGCCGGGGAAGTCCTTGGTGCTGAGGGCAGCGGCGCGGTGCTGCTCCGCTCCCCCGGGGCCGGGCTTGGCTGGGCTCCGAGCGCCGCGGCCGGGGCTCCGGTGGGTGCTGCTCTCGATTTAGCCGGGTGTTGGGTTTCCCGGGGCCGGGTGCGCTCGCAGCTCTCCCCGCAGTGCGAGCAGAAAGGTTAAAGAGCGCTGCTGGGTTGTGGCAACCCCGTCGCTAGGGAGCCGCGGGCTTGATGCTGAGCCAGGGCTGCCGGGACGGGCTGGGTGCCAGCGGCAGCCAACGGGGGACTCTGGCTTAAGCTCGTGAATGGGGAGGGAAAAGAGCCCGGCCCCGTTCTGAGAAGCCCCGGTGGTGGCTGGGTTTGGCCCTGGGCTCTGCAGAGCGCTGCAGCACCGGTGCTGTGCGCTGCGGTGAGTGAGGGCTGATGGACCAAGGCGTCTGACATCCCGGTGTGCAGCAGCTCCTGCCCTTCGCTGCACATCCGTCTTTGGGGATGGTTTTTGGCTTGTTTCTCTTTACCCACCAATGGGTTTCATCTCATAACAGCAGGACGCTCATCCTTCATGCATGTCCCCTTCGAAGAGCCATTCCTATGGCTCCCCAGCACTGCTGCATCTGCTCTTGCTTTGCTTCCTCCCCTTGTCCCAAGGCCTCGCACCCAGACGCCAGCCCTGGTGTGTGTGTAAGGCTGCAGGTGCCCTGGGAAGACTGGTGGCTTCCAGGCAGGTCCTGCTGTCCTTGGGGGATTTTATCCCAGCTCCTGCTGAGTGGATGTGCTCCTTCCGCCCAGGATTAGCTGGGGGAGTGTGGAGCAGTGGCAGCGTTTGCCTTGAGTGACATTGGTGGCCTCCAGGTGCCTGGCAGCTCTGGGAAAGGTGATTCCAAACTGTATGCTGGCGATGACAGTCAGTGGGCAGAGGCCCCGAGCATGGCGTTAGCCAGTCATTCCCCTGGCATTCCCTGTGGTGGCCAAGCTGGGGGGGCTCCTGCTTGCCACTGGAGCAGTGCCTGTGCTGGGAACAGGCACTGTGGGCGCTGCCCTCCCTGAGTGCTGCAGGTGCTGGTGATGCTCCAACCTCTGCATGTGCACAATTGCATTGGTGCTGCTGGTTGGAGCCGTGTGCCTGCTCGCTGCTGCTTCCCATCACATTCCAGGTTCTGTCCCTGGTCTCGGGAAGAAGGAGGCTCGTTACCCCCGGTGTGGAGCTGGGCTCCTTGAAGCAGCAAATCTGAGCTGTGAGGGCTGGAATAGGGGAGCCCAATGTGTGCACCACTCTTAGGATGCTGCCACCGCCTGTGGTGGCGGCCACGCACGAGTCCCAGGGGGGAGCAGATGGGCTCAGGGTCTGGCAGGACTTGAGCTCCATGTGGTTGTGGGACAGAGAGCTCTGGAGGAGCCCCCAGTAATTCCAGCCTCCCTGGGGGCACCGGGAGCTGCTTTCGCTGCTTTGTCACCATCCCTGAGCCCCGGCCTCCCTGTCCCCCCCAAGGGGAGCACCATTGCAGTGAGGGGCTGAGCCCTTCCTGCTGCAGCCGTTCCTGCTGCCCTGACATTGATAGATGAGGTCCTGGGTTTTTAATAGTGGGTATCACTGGAGAGCTTCCCCTTGCAGCGCTGGGTCCGGTTACGAGGGGTTCCTCCTGCACCCCCTGCATGCCTCCACCCCAGCTGCCTGCGTGCCCTTGTGAGTGAGGCTTTCCTCACCTTAAGGATCCAAGGCTTAAATGGGGCTCCCACTGAGTGGGGAACCTGGGGTAGCCCTTGGACTCCACCAGCTTCAGCGCCTTCCGTGGCCATGGCCCTGCCTTTGCCCAGCTTTATTTGTGGCCACTGCAGCCCGGGCATGGGGTAACCCATGGTGCCCCCTCCCCAGGGGTTTTCCATGCCCGGTTTCTGCACTGCCAGACCATACCCTGGGGTGCAGCAGCACCTTCAGCTGGGGCTGGTGATGCCTGACCCCTTCAGGAGCCCCCGCTCCTTTGTTTCTTCTCCTAATCCCCAAAACTCTTAATTTTGCAGGAAATCAGTGTCTTTCAGGAGGTTCCAGAGGATGCTGCCACTGGCGAGTGCCCAGTTCCCAACTGCTCTCAGTTCTGCTCCAGGGACCTGTGGCCATGCCCTTGGGTGCCACATTGTGCTCCTGGAGCTGCCTTCCCAAAGGGCTGATGCCCGACGGGACCGAGCTGGCCACAGCTCATTGCCCGGGGGGGCAGCGCTGTCAATGCTCGCTCCCAGCTGCCATCCCCAGGGGTGGGCAGTGGCCACCTTGTGTGGAAGCCCTTGGCTGCTTGGGCTGTGTCCATCCCAGCCGGGCCACCCCAGGGGATGTCGCGGGGCGCTGCGGGGCCGGTGCCTGCCCGCCCGGGGGTGCTGTGCGGGGCCGCCCCCCGCAGCGAGGCCGCGCATCCCGGCCCGCGGGGCAGGGCCGTGTCCTTTGAACGGGCTCCAGCGCGACAGGTGCTGGGAAAGGGCCGGCTCCCGCTGCTGTAACGGATCCTCCTCTGCCCGCGCTAATCCGGCTCCGTTACACCCGGCATAGAAGAGGCTGCTCCCTCCCGGCGCTGCCACAGTGCGGATGCTGCCGTCCTGACCGCCCTCTGCACCGGCACAGGTAAAGGGGCCGGGAGGGGTCCCTGGGGCACGGGAGCCCCCAGCCAGGGAGGAAAGGCTCCATCCCCGCTCCGAGCTGTGGGATTGCTCCGTCAGAGACAGCTCTGCTTTAGCTCCTGTCCCAGTCAGACCAACAAGTGCGTCCCCTCTTACTGCGGTCGCTGGTGGGCTTGTCCTGGGTCTGTGCTGGTCTCTGAGTGGTTGCACAGGCAGCGCGGGGGCTGTTTTGGGGCAAGGTGATGGGGGTGGCAGCGCAGGGAGAGCAGCGGAGCCCGGGACAGAGCTTGGATTTGGGGATCGGGTGCTGGTTTGGAGGCAATTGGTTGGCATCAACAGGTCCCCTTGGTGGGGAGGGCACAGAAAGAAGCTGTGGTCACCACCGGGCAGGGCTGAGCCATCGGGATGGGCAGTGCCAGGGATGCCCACCCCGCCTGCTGCCCACCCCGCAGCCGCTCTCTCCTACCCCACCGTCGAGGGACGTGGCCCTAAATCCGGCACCATGGCTGCCCCGCGGCGGCTGTTTGCGCTCCGGAGGCTCGGTGGCAGCGACAGGTGCCGGTATCGGGCCCCCGGTCAGTCATCGAGCGGCAGATATCGGGGCACAATGGGGCAGTGCAGGGACCTGCGGCCACAGGGGGCCACCAGCCTTGTGCCACCGCCTTGTGGCACGGTCCCTGGCTCGGTGGCCTCTGCTTGCCCCTGTTCTGAGGGAGCAAAGCCGCTGCCCGGGTCCCGCCGTGCCTCTCTGCAGCTCCACAGAGCCCTGAGCTCCCGTCTTCTCTCCCGCAGGATCCCCGCTGAGCCAGGAGCACCCCAGGGCAGCCGCCTCCTGCCCGGAGCATCCCCATGGAGCAGGGCGGTGGGGCAGGCAGCGAGCCCGGGGCTGGTGGCACAGCTCCCCCCGAAGCAGAGGGCACTGCAGCCCCAGCGGCCCCCCAGGCTGCCCAGCCCCAAGGGGGTATGGAGACGTCTGTCACCGAGGTGCAGGATGGAGGGAAGGGCAAGCCCGGGCAGGAGAAGGCTCCGGCTGCTGCTGTGGCACAGGATGGAGGGAAGGGAGAGCATGGGCAGGAGAAGGCAGCAGGAGAGGCTGGAGGAGGGAAGGCAGGGCCAGCCCCAAGTGCTCCAGAGCCCCAGGATGGAAAGAAGGCAGAGCTGGCAGAGGGAGCTTCAGCTGAGCAACACGATGGAGGGGAAGCAGCACCTACAGAGGAGAAGGTGCTGGATGCTGCCAAGGCCCAGGATGGAGGGAAGAATGAGCCAGGGAAGGAGAAGGCTCCGGCTGCCGTAAAGCCTGAAGGAGGGCAGGCAGCATCCATACAGAAGGCTCCGGCTGCCGTAAAGCCTGAAGGAGGGCAGGCAGCATCCATACAGAAGGCTCCGGCTGCTGCTAAGGCTGAGGATGGAGGGAAGGATGAGCCCAGGGAGGAGAAGGCTCCGGCTGCAGGCAAGCCCAAAGGAGAGCAAGCAGAGCCCACAGAGGGGAAGGGCCTGGCTGGAGCAGAGGCTCAGGATAGAGGGAAGGATGAGCCCACGAAGGAGCAAGCTCCTGGTGGGTTAGAGCCTAAGGGTGGTGGGAAAGCAGAGCCCATGGAGGAGAAGGTTCCAGCTGCAGCTGAGGCTGAAGAAAAGGCAAAACCCACCAAGGAGGCAGCCTTGGCTGCAGCACAGGCTCAGGGTGGGGGGAAAGAATCTGCAAAGGAGAAACCCACATCTGGTGCCAAGGAGAAAGCTCCAGCTCCTGTGAAAGCCCAGGATGGAGGGAAGGCAGCAGCAAAGGTGGAGAAAACCCCAGCAGATAAAAAACATGGGAAGGCTCCGGCTCCTGTAAAGGCTCAGGATAGAGAGAAACAAGTGGCAAAGGGAGAAAAAGCCTCAGCTGCAAAAACAGCTCAAAAGGGTGACAAAGAACCTGCAAAGGAGAAAGCCACAGGTCCTGCAAAGAAGGCCCCAGATGCTGCAAAGGCTCACGATGGAGGGAAGGCAGCAGCAAAGGCAAAGGAAACCCCAGCTGCAAAGAAGCCTCAAGATGGAAGCAAAGAGGAACCTGCAAAGGAGAAAGCCCCGGCTCCTGCAGAAGTGCCGGATGGAGGGGAGAATGCTCCAAAGGTGGAAAAAACCCCAGCGGCATCGAAGGCTGAGGATGGAGGCAAGGAAGAGCCTGCCAAGGAGGAAGCCACGGCTCCAGCAAAGGAGGAGGCTCCGGCAGCCGTGAAGGCTCAGGATGGAGGGGCGAAAGCTGCAGAGGTGGAATCTCCCCCAGCTGCGGCAGAGGCCGGGGATGGAGGCGAGGAGCCCGCAGAGGCAGCGGCAGCGGCCCCGGGTGAAGGGGAGCAAGCAGCAAAGGCGGAGGAGACGGGCAAGCAGCAGGCGAGGGGCGCCGAGCCCCCGCGCCCGGCTCTGCTGCAGAGCCTGAGCTGCCCGGCCGCATGCCAGAGGTACCCGCACCCTCCTGGGGTGGGTCCCGTCCCCCGCTGAGCCCCGGCTCCCTCCGGGCAGAGGCGCTGGGCTCGGGGCGCTGCGGGCTCGGCTCTGCTCATCTCCTGCTCCTGCTTCCAGGGACGAGCAGCGCTGGGCGGAGGGCCCGGCGATGGAGGTGATACTGGAGGAGACCACGGTGATGGAGCCGGCAGAGGGTCCGGCAGAGCCCGGCCCGGTCCCCTCAGCCCAGGGGGACCTGCAGCCCCCGCAGCAGCCCCCCGGCACCCCACAGGAGAGGACATTGCCCAGTGCCACGGGGCAGGCCCCTGCGGAGCAGCCTGGCCCTGCGGGACAACCGTCCTCGACGGAGGCAGAGCCACCCCCGAGCCCCTACCTCACCCCCGACTTCGGGAAGGAAGACCCGTTCGAGATACTGGGTAAGGCTGTGGGGTGCCTGCCTTGTCCCCGCACCCCGGGACCCTCTGTGGGGCAGCAGCTGGGGGGTCCCAGCACCCTGCCTGCTGCCCGCGCTGCCCTCCCATGCTGCCTGCTCATGCTCTTGGCTCGTCGCCTGCCCGGTGGCCTTCGAGCTCCTGTTGCACTGTAAACAGGGCTAAATGCGTCGTGTCCCCTCCCCGGGCTGCTCCGGCCTCAGCCTGGCACCGGGAGGAAGAGGAGCCCCGGGAGTGACAACCGCCGCCTGGCCGGTGGCAGGGGACAGCGCGTCCCCGTGTCCCGCAGCACCGCCCTTGCGGGGCCGCAGGGCCTGGGGGTGCCTTGGGGCTCCTGCACTCGCCTGGGGAAGAGCCCAGGGCTGGGTGCTGGAGAGCCCTGGGCGAGTGGAGGGCTGGTGGCACAGAGAGGGTGACAGGCAGCAGCGTGGCCTGGAGAGGGCGAGCGTGCCATGCGGGATGGTGAGGAGCGGGTGTGTAGCGGGGTGGGTACCATGCAGCTGGGTGCTGTGCGGCGGGGTGATGCTGGGGCAGTGGTGAGGGTCCCCTCAGGGGATGCTCCATCCCCTGGTGCAGGAGGCAGCCAGAAGACCCCGATTTGCAGCGGGATACTCGGTACCTGGCCGCATCCTGCACCCAGAGGCTTGGCTGGGAAGTGCCACCGGGTGCTTCACTTCACCCGGCACCTGGATGTGTCCCCAGCCCAGGGCACCCTGGGATGCCCATCATCGGGGTCCGGGCCGTCCCCCTGCTCACCCCAACCCTCCTCTCTGGGCAGATGATGTCCCTCCGCCACCAGCGCCCTTCGCTCACCGCATCGTCACCCTGCGGTCTGCCAGCATCAGCTCCCAGTTCAACCTCAGCTCCAAGGAGATCCTGGGGGGGTAAGGAGGGGCCCGGGGAAGGTGAGGGGCACCCGGGATTCCCCCCAGCACTGCTCAAGCTGCTATCCTGCCTTAGGCAGTGGCTCTGGGTCAATGGGACTTTCCTTGTCCTGATGGATTGGTGCTTTAGGCAGAGTAGGTGCAGAGGGGTGCACAGGGCGGGGGTCTCCATCAGCCTGGGTGGCTGATGGTGATGGCATCACTTTCTATCCTCCTCCCCAGGGGCAAGTTTGGTGAAGTCCACACGTGCACAGAGAAGCAGACGGGGCTCAAGCTGGCGGCCAAAGTGATCCGGAAGCAGGGTGCCAAGGACAAGGTTTGAGCGATGGCAGAGCGGGGGCACCTCCTGGCCACGGTGCCACCCGCAAGTGGCATGGCCTAGGTGGTGGGTGCCAGTGTCACGCGTGGTGTGTCTGCGATGCTGTGGCACAGCCCGTCCCGGTGTTGGTGGCCAGGACTGACCCCCACGGGGCTCTTCTGCAGGAGATGGTGCTGCTGGAGATCGATGTGATGAACCAGCTGAACCACCGCAACCTCATCCAGCTCTATGATGCCATCGAGACGCCGCGGGAGATCATCCTCTTCATGGAGTTGTGAGTGCTGGGGCAGTGCTGCGAGAGGCCTGGTGCCTGGGTGAGGGGCACCACCATGGGGATGCTCCAGAGATGAAGCAGATGTGCTGGACCCTGACCGTGCAGAAGGGGTTGGCCCCAGGGAATGTCCCCCTCCTTGCCCGTCCCCTCTTGGGCACCTCCCTGGCTCACTCCAGGCTCAGAGGCAACCTCAGGCTCTGCCTGGCCAGGACAGCATCTCCCTCTCATGGCTGTGGTGAGGGTGGAGGTGACCCAGGTCTTTCCCATGCAGCTCTATGAACCCTGGGGAGCTGCGGTGTCCTCTCTCTCCACCAGCATCCCCATGGAGGGGCTGGGTTAGGGTCCCCCTGGCATGCAAGGGCCCCCAAGTGACCCCGCTCTCTGTCCCCATGCAGTGTGGAGGGCGGTGAGCTCTTCGAGCGGATCATCGATGACGACTACCAGCTGACGGAGGTGGACTGCATGGTCTTCGTGCGGCAGATCTGTGAGGGCATCCGCTTCATGCACCACATGCGTGTCCTCCACCTCGACCTCAAGGTGTGGGGCTGGGGGCTGACAGCAGGGACACGGGGGGCAGTGGGTGGGTCAGCACAGGACCCCTGGGCTGCCAGATCCATGCACTGGGGACACGTTCCCCCTTGGCAGTGGGGCAATGGCTTCTGTCCCCACAGCCTGAGAACATCCTCTGCGTCGCTGCCACTGGGCACATGGTGAAGATCATTGACTTTGGGCTGGCTCGAAGGTCAGCTCCATCCCTCCTCCTTGCCTCCCTCCCATCCTGCATCTCCGCAGCCCTTTAGGGTGCTGGGACCCCCAGGACCTGCTCTGGGCTGTGGTTTGGTCATGGCTGCCAGCCCTGGCTCTCCCTGGCTGGCACAGGAGGGCTGGGGAGGGCAGCAGTGCTTTGGGGGAGCAGCCCGTCCCCTTCCTGCTGACTCCCCTCCTGGATGCAGGTACAACCCCCAGGAGAAGCTGAAGGTGAACTTCGGCACCCCCGAATTCCTCTCCCCCGAGGTGGTCAACTACGAGCAGGTCTCCTACACCACGGACATGTGGAGCATGGGTGTCATCACCTACATGCTGTACGTCGGGGCTGCCGGTGCCATGCTGGGGAGCAGAGCTGTTCTGGCTCCTTAGTGGGGTGCTGGTGGGTGCTGGACGGGGAGATGGGCAAGGGCGCTGGGGTCTGTGCCCACATCTGCAGGCAGGTTATGGGGCCAGCAGCCACCTTGTGTGTGTGGCTGGGGCAGCCCTTGGCCAGGCTGGCTCATTTGGGGGCTCTGGGAGGTGCTGCAGCCTGGGGGGGTCTCACTCCTCACCCCCTGCACCCCCAGGCTCAGCGGCCTCTCCCCCTTCCTGGGTGACAATGACACCGAGACGCTCAACAACGTCCTGGCTGCCAACTGGTACTTTGACGAGGAGACCTTCGAGAGCGTCTCCAACGAGGCCAAGGACTTCGTTTCAAACCTCATCATCAAGGACAAGAGGTGCGGGGCTGGCAGCGGCCATGGGGGTCCTGGGGTGGCATCCAAGCTGTGTGCCCAGCCCCTGGGTACCACACACCAGCAGCATCTCCTGATGTCCTGTACCAACGGAGCCCCACGGAGCCCTGCCCTTGCTGTTGGCTGTCCCCAGCAGAGCCCCTTGTCCCTTTAAAGTGTCACTTGTCCCAAGCAGGATGTGCTGAACCCTCAGGGTCCTGCCCAGCCCCTCTGATCCCTGCTCCCACCCCTCTGGCTGGTTCATGGCGTTCTGGGGCTCCTGAGTGGCTGGAGAAGGGGCTGATCGGGGGTGATGCTTCTCCTCTCGCCCCCAGCGCCCGGATGAGCGCCAGCCAGTGCCTGGAGCATCCCTGGCTCAACAACCTGGCCGAAAAGGCCAAACGCTGCAACCGGCGGCTCAAGTCCCAAGTGCTGCTCAAGAAATACGTCATGAGGAGGCGCTGGAAGGTGCGGGGGGACAGCCCGGGCAGGGGCAGTGGTGCTGGGGGGGTGCCAGCCTCCACCTGTGCTGGTGGGTGGCTTGGGGGACATGGATGGGTCTGTGTCGCTGCCTGATGCAAGGGCTGGGGACCCTGCTCATTGCAAGGGTTGGACCTTAGAAGGTCCCTTCCAGCCCAGTTATTCTACGATTCTCTGACCTCCTAAGCTTGGAGAAAGGGCTCCCCAGCCCCAGGTCCCCTGTGTGGTTGCCCCCACGACGGGATCCCTGTCAGTGTTGGTCCCTTCACGGTCATCTCCCCTGAGCCCACCCCAAGAGCACCTTTTAGGGGCAGGAACAGCATCAGGACAGGGTAGGGGATGAGCCCCAGCATCAGCCATGTGCTCCTGTCCCATGCACCTCAGCTGTGCCCGGATGGCTCCCCCCTTGTCCCCAGCCCCGGGTGCAGGGTCTGGCTCAGGATCCAGCGCTGCAGCCCCTGCTTCCCCTTCACAGAAAAACTTCATTGGGGTGTGCGCTGCCAACCGCTTCAAGAAGATCACCAGCTCGGGGTCACTGACGGCGCTGGGCATCTGAGCGAGGGCTCCGCGCTGAGCCGAGGCCAGCGAGGAACCGCTTCAGAGGGTCTCACGTCACTCTTGCTTCTGGACGGCAGCAGGACCCTGCTGGGGTCCTCACCTCCCACTGTGGGGCCAGGGGCTGGAGCTGCTCAGCCCTGTCCCTGCCCGTGCTGCTGCGAGATGATGCTCTGGATCCCATGTCACTGTGGCACACGCTGCATCCCTGCTCTGTGCCCCACGCCACCGCCTCCATGGGTGCTGCTCCGCTGCGCTCCTGGGCCTGCACTTGCCTTGGCACCCTGCCCCTGTGGGACTCATCAGGGCTGCGACACCACCGGGCTCACCTGCACCCGCTGCTGCACTGAGCTCATCCCACCCCAGGGACCCGCTGCTGGGAATGCCTAAAGCATCCCTGCCCATCCCCATTGAGCCGATGCTCCTGACTGCATTTCCTTGGACTGCGAGGCTGCTCCTGAGCGGTGGTTTCCGATCTCATCCCTGGCCTGGCTGCGCAGTGCCCAACCCACGGCATCTCTGCTCTGTTTGGGCTTCCTTCCTGTGGGTTTGGAGGAGAGAGGCTGGTCTGGCGTGAGCCCCAGGGCCCGAGCTGCTGTCCTGCTTTTGGACTGTGTGGTACTTGTTGCTGGCTGGGTTTAAACCACGGCAGCCGCCCTGCGCCCTCGCTGCTCCCTCGGACCCAAGGCTTGCCCACTCTGCCTGTAAATGCCGCAGCCCTGCGCTGCCTTCGCTGTCTCTGGACCCTGAGCCGCCCTTCCCAGCGCTGCGCTTTGGCGTGAGGACGCCGAGGGCAGGCGTGGACCCTCACCCCGGCGCTTTGGCACCGGAGCTGGGGCTGAGCCTGCTCCTCATCCTCCTCCTCCTCCCTGGCCGGCCACGCGTGCGGGCGCGGCGCTGGCCCCGAGCTGCGGCTCGCACAGGAAGGGAGGAAGCGGCGAGCGCTCTTCCAGCACCGTCCCCAGCTGGGAGGCAGCGAGGGAAGAAGGAGGCTTTGTGTTCCCGCTGCCCTCCCTGCCCTCCGGCTCTGCCAGCGGGGGAACAGCGCAACCTCTGCTTCCCCCGGCGCCACCGGATCAAGATGAGCGAGGAAATGCGGAGCAGCTGCACCGCGCTCCCCCGCTCCTGCGAGCACCGCTCCAGCCCGACCACCAACACAGCGGAACTGCCGGGCGGCCGCGAACGGGGCTCCCGGGACCGGCCGCGCTGCGGGAGCCGGCGCTGACCCCCGCTCCTCCGCCTCACCCCGGACCCCTTCCCCTCTGCCCGCGCCCGCGGGGCTCCCGGGTGCTGCTGCAGGATGAGCATCCCCACGGCTTTGCAGCTCCCAGCCCTGCCCGTGCGGGGCTGGGGGCCGGTGGGGAGGGGTCCTGGGGTTCCCTTGCCCTCCAGCTTTGGCTTTTGCTGTGGCCAGGGCTGTGTGTTTGCTCCAGGGCTGCCTGTGCTCTCTGTGCCTGCTGGAAGAACCCTGGGGAGAGACCGGAGTGGCACCAGACCCCCAGCCCCACCCGGGGGCTTTGGGCTCATCCCCATGGGGCAGGGGACACTTCTCGTGGGGTCCTACCTGGCTCTTGTCTTCTTGTAAATAAATGTACAGGTCTTCCCGCAGCCCCCCTCTGCCCCCCGCCTCCCTGGGACTTGGGGGGTCCCTCCGGCCACCTCCCTGTGCCTCTGCTCCTCACCACTGCAGTCTGAGGGCTGCAGGTAACCGAGGAGGGGATGGAATGGGATGGGATGGGGTGGGATGTCTTGGCCGCAGAGTAGAGGGGACAGAACGGGGCCCTGGCTGTGCAGAAGCGGTCTGAACACCCCAGGGTACCGGGGCAAGGGGATGGATGGGTGGTCGAAGGTGTCCTCACAGCTTCAGCATCTGCCCGTGTGGGGTGGGATGCCCAGGTAATGGCTGGTGTGGGGCAGGTGCCCCTGCGCCCGGGGGTGCAGCCAGCCCCGAAGCAGTTAAGGCCGCCGGGGCCCCCGGACGCTGCCTCCCGCTGCGGGCTTCCCTCCCAGGCGCTTCCTGCCGGCAGCCTTTGGCCGGTTCCTGTCGGTGACCACCCCGCGGGCCTGGAAGCCAGCGCGGCCCCATCTGGTTTGAGTTACGCTCCGCGGCGATGACGTCTCCTTCCTGTCTGGCCCCGGGGGCTGCAGGGCCCTGCCGTGGGGCGGCCCATGGGGCTCCCGGCCAGGCCCTCACCCACGGCTGCTCCGGGCATCCTGAGCTGCTTGAGGGGATCTGTTCCTGGACGTGGCACAGGGATGCAGAGGCACCAGCACATCCCAGTGCCCCAAACACAGGGTAAGGGACTCCCACCCCTACCACCCCACCCACTTCTCCAGCCTCTCCTGCCCCGAGACCCCACAGGGGCACCCACTGTGCCTTTATCAGAGCCAGGAGAGGGGGCTTGTGGGCTGCTACCTGTGGAAGCAGCCGTAGCCCTATCCCATGCACCCAAATGAGGGGCAGAATGGGGATTGGGAGCCGCCAGAACCCGGGGGAAGGGACCCATTCCGCAGGGGTCAGTGGGCACAGTGATAGGGCTGATCCTGGTCCAGCAAAGGCTATAGCAACCAGTGCCACCCTTTGTATGGGGTCTTGGTCACCCCCACATACACCTGGCTCAGTCTGGGGTGTTTGCATGAGGGCCCACAGCATCCATCCTGCAGCCTTGAGCACTCGCACTCAGCCTTTTCCCACCCCTGCACCCATCCCCATGGCACCCACCCTGCCTGCACAAGCACCGGTTCCTGCAGGGAGGGAAGGGGAGCGGGCAGACCTCCAGCACCGGCACCACCGGCAGCAGGTTCAGCCTGTGACCAGGTGCAGCCCAGTCCCCATCCACGGCACGGCCCATGCTGGGAACGGGCGAGCGGGCCGGGGGCCAGGCCACCCACTGCGAGCAAGGGAGGAGCAGGGAGAGCCGGAGCCATGAACCGGGCTGGGTGTCGAGGGGGGGGGAGCGCTAGGACTGCCCGTCCCCGGGGGCTGCAGCTCGCGGGGCAATGGGATGCTCCATGCGGTGCCGCGCTGCTCCCAGGGCAGGGACCCCATCCCCGTGTTCCCAGGCGCCGTGGGGAGCCGGGGGGGGGGCGCGGGGCCTGGCCACGCTGCGTGGGAACCAGACGGCCCCTGGGCACAGCCGCGGCCTCGCTTCCTCCGGCGCCCCCGGGGGAGCGCGCAGGAGGGGGCTGAGGTCAGCCGCGCTCGCCGCGCCGGAGCCGCCAGCATGATGTAGGCGCTCAAATATTGTTTTCCATTGGGGAAGGGAAAAACTAAAACGGGAGAAGAGAGAGGCCGGGGCTGAGCGGCGCGGGCCCCCCCTTGCCCTGCCCTGCCCTGCCCGGGGCTGGGACGCAGCCATGGCCCCGCCGTCTGGGGGCTGATAACGGGGCTGACGCGGCCACAGTGCTCCCTGTCCCTGAGTGACGCAAGGGCTGTCCCTCGGTGCCAGAGCAGCCCCCGCAGGGACCCCCTGCATTGGCCAAACTGAGGTGCCGTTGGGCTTGAGGAGCCCCACACCAGCTTCCCTCATCAGCATGGGGTGCGCTCTTCAGCCCCGGCATCGTGCGTGCCTGAGGCTGCTGTGCCCTGGGGTCCTCTCTCCCAGTCTGGGGTGGGCAGAATGGGGGCATGGGCTCAGCACCCCACTTGGCAGCATCGCTCTGCCCCTATTCCAGCACTGCAGGAGATGCTGCTCCAGTGGAAAGATGTTGGTGGCTGGGTGACAGCCTGCCCACCCGGTGCCCCCCAGCCCTCCCCGGTGCCCAGCCCGGTGCCGGCAGCGGTGACTCAGCCAGTGCCTCCTCACCAGCAGCCGCCCGGTGTGATTCAGATCGGAGGAATCTGCTTTCCCTGCCCGTTCCCACCGCAGCCCCTGGCACAGCCGGGCTCTAGGGGTGCCCTGGCCTCGGGGCATCTGCAGAGACCTGCTGGGACCCCAGGCGGACACCGGCACAGCCCTGAGCAGGGGCAAAGTGGGGCGGGAGCCCTGTCCCGACAGAGCAAAGCCCCATGCAGAGTGCCACCACTTCACCGGCATCTTTCTGCGGCCGTGTCCTGAGGCTGGTGCTGGTTGTGCCGTGTGTGGCATATGGGAGAATCCAGGCGCTCTGAGTGGTCCCAGGCACAGTGAGGCAGCAGCAGGGCTCCGTGGGGGCTCGTTCCTGCTGCAGCACATCCTCTTGCCCCTCATGGATGTGGTTCCCTCCTGCTACCCCAGGACAGGGCTTCTCATGCTCCTGGCTCCACGCTGGAGCAGGACCTTGTCCCCAGCATCTCCCAGGGACACAGGACCTGGATGCGGGTGCCTTGACCCAGGCCATGCCCTATCCCCCTGCTGCCTCACCGCATCCACCCAGAAATCCCCAATGGAGGGACCAGCGGAGATGAAGGCTGTGCCGGTGGCCTGGGGGACACGTGTGCCCCAGCCAGCGCCCAGGATGGGGCAGAGGGCCCCCAGCTCGCCCCTGCCCACCCCGAGCGGGGCACTGAGACCACAGAGGCAGCGTTGGGGAATGCGCTTTATTCGGTGCGGGGGGCCGGTCCCTCACTCGAAGAAGAACATGCCGGGTGTCCGGTAGAGGCAGGGGGGCAACCCCAGGGGGTACCCATTGCCCCCCTGCAGCGGGATCGCCCCCCCCGGCCCCCACGGCTCCTTCTGCTCACCCGCCCGTGGCCCCACGGCCCCGAAGGGCGCCTGTCGGGGGGCAGCGGGGGCCGGGGGTGCCGCGGCCAGGAGATGCTCCAGCGCGGTGCCGCAGGGCCGCTCCTTCACGCAGAAGCTCAGCGCCTGCACCCGGCACTGGTAGCTGCTGCCCAGCGCCTCGGGGCCCGAGCGGCCGAAGGAGCCGAAAACGGGCAGGGGGGGCTGCGCGTAGCCCTCCCCCTCCAAGAAGCAGGACGGGGGGGGCTTGCCCGTGCCCAGGAGGGGGCTGGGGAACGCGGGGGGCACCTGCCCGAAGGGTTGGCCTGGCCCCAGCCCCGGGGGGGCCGGTTCCTCACCCTCCAGCTGCCCCGGGGGGGTGCCTGGGGGGGCCGGCGAGTCCTGCTGGGGGTCCCTGTGCTGGACGGGCAGCAGGGCGGGCAGCAGCGCAGCGTGCGGCGCCGGGCGCTCGTACTGACCTGGCCGGGGCAGCTGCAGCGCGGCCGGGAGCCCCCCGAGGGCAGTGTCCTTGGGCAGGCGGCTCTCCGGGGGGGCGAGGAACGGCCCCTTGGGCTGCGGCGCATCCGGCAGGTACAGGCAGGGCTGCCTGGCCTTGGGGGGCTGCCCCCGCACACAGGGCTCGGCGCACCCCGGCACTCCGGCCCCCTCGGGCAGCGTGGTGGGGCTTGGCAGGCGCCCCGTGGCCACCGGTGAGGGGTAGCCCCCCTCTGCCTTCCCCTCCTCGGGCAGCGGGGCTGCGGGCGGCCCCCGTGCCCGCTGCTTCGGGGGCTTCCCGCGCCCCTCGTCCCCATCGGTGCCCGGTGCATCCCGGAGGCCTCTTTTCCTGGTGAAGCGCCGTCGACGCCGCAAGAAGCTGCCGTTCTCGAACATGTTGTAGCAGTCGGGGTCGAGCGTCCAGTAGTTGCCCTTGCCCGGCTTCTTGTCGTCGCGGGGCACCTTGACGAAGCACTCGTTGAGGGAGAGGTTGTGGCGGATGCTGTTCTGCCAGCCCTGCTTGTTCTCCCGGTAGAACGTGAAGCGGCCCATGATGTAGCGGTAGATACCACTGAGGGTGATGCGCTTCTCGGGCACACTCTGAATGGCCATGGTGATGAGGGCGATGTAGCTGTAGGGTGGTTTGGTGGCCTCGGCGCTGGGGAAGGGGCCGCCGGACGGCTCGGGGGCCGCTGGGCTGCGCAGCACCGTGTCGCCGACGGGGAGGTCCGGCTGCATCCTCCCGGCAGCCGCGGTGCTCCCGCTCTGCCGCCCGGCCCCGGCACGGCCGTTAAAACCCGCTGGCGGCCCCTCCTCTCCCAGGGCGGAGCAGGGCTCCGGCGGCCAGCGCTGGTCCCTGCGGGCGGGCGGACGGACGGATGCACTGCCAAGGCCTGCGGCCAGCAGCCGGCGGCCCCGGGGCTGGCACGACGCGGCCTCCCGGGGCAGAGATGGGCAGTATTGGCCTTGGCTGAGCCCCTGGTATGGTCCTCGGGTCCCCCAGCCTCTTTTCCCATGGGAAGTTCCCAAGAGCTGGGTCTCATCCTGAGCTGCCCACATTGAGCAGCTGAGACCTGGACAGGGCTGATGGGGATGGGGCTGCTGATGGGGATGGGGCTGCTGCCCCCTGCCCACCCCAGAGCCTGCTTTCTCCCAGCCTGGGGCTGTGCCAGATGGTGTGCAGTGTGCTGGACCTCTGCTCTGTGCCAGGTCCCCACACTGTGCTCCAGGTTACAGCACAGCCCCCACCTCCTAGGAGCCCTCTCACTCCATTCACCAGGGGAAACTGAGGCACGGGCACTGAGGACCTCTGAGACAGGCTCAAGAGCAGCTGATGAGCACCCCGCTGCTGCCTGCACCCCTACCAAGGGGCTGGACCCGCGGCAGAACAAGTCCAGCTCCCCCAGCTGCCTCTGCCCCACTTAGACCGGCATCGCCCCCCCACTGGAGCCAGAGGTACCAAAACACAACCTT